TACTCTATGAATTTCCTTGTGATTTTAATTACCTTCTATCTCCTGTTCGGGTGTCTCCTTGAACTTCAGATTTGTATATCCAATTATCTGTATAGGTTTTGTTGGATGTACCTCTGATATCCTACATCCAGCATAGAATGTTTTATCTTTCATTTAAAATATGTTTTCTACTCCTGTATTCTTGCTATTAACTCATAGGATCACATGGATCCAGTCACTAAAGCCAGAACCCAGAAGTCCTGCCAGACTTTATATCCAGTTACCATGGCCTGCCGGCTTTATCTTTTAAATGTTGTTTGAATCCATCCTTCCTCTGTCCCTGTTCAGTCCCTCATATCCTCTTGCCTAACTCCTACAATCCATCCTTTCCCAGTTGTCAGCTAGATCTCTGTTAATCTAACCATTTCATTTCCCTTCACTGCCTCCCACCATCTGCCCAATGAAGGACAGCCCAGGAGGTACTACATTTGTACAGGATGGAAGAGCTTCTACTCTTTCCCCTTCCATCTGATCTGTAAATACCATGTTGACTCAGACTTCGTGCCATTGCTCTGGATCACCCTTCTTCCTGAAATGCCCTTCCCACTTGCTCCACCTAGAAACTCACCCTGCAACAACCATTTGTTGCCAAGCAACCTCCTATATCATCTGAATCAGAACTCCCCTCTCCTCCCAAATTCCTGGATATTCTTTCTCTGTATTTTCACAGCGCTCTGAGAATACCTTAGTAAATATTTCTGGTGTGCAGAAAACTGAGAGTAACTTGCATGTAGGAGAAACACAGGCATTATTTCTTGGATTTCTTGGAATCTTTATTTCTTAGACTTCTTGCAAAAACCCTGTCCTACCTCTTTGTCCCATACTTCTCTCTTGAGAACAGGAATGTCCTCACTTGCAGGATTGGCCTACAAACGGCCAGACCAAGATTGGAAGGGAATTTAGAGGCCTTCAGTTTGTGAGAGGGATGCTGAGCACAGTGAGGCTGGCTGGTTTGGGCTGCACAGGCTGGGCTGAACCAGGAGGCATCAGCTGTTGTTCCTGGCCGCTCCACCACCTCGCACCACTCATTCGTCCCTTGGGGAACCGTGCGCCAAGGAGACACCTAAACATGAACTCCCAGATGGGGTGCAAGCATAGCGCTGGCTTCCAATATACCTCATTTCATCCGTATTCACCAAACTCCCTCAGCGTTTAAAAAAACACAAATCCTTTTTCTTTTCAAAAGCTGCCACTTAGGGGAGACAGTTTGGCACCCCCTGCTCTTCCCTGAGTGATTTGCTTGGAAGCAGGGGGTCAGGCTCACTGGGTCCTGTGGGTGGTGGTCAGGCCCGTGAGCATGTTTCGCCTTCCCTGCAGGAGAAGGCTGAGGAGGTGTATCGTCTGTATCAGAACTCTCCTCTCTCCTCCCACCCTGTGGTGGCCCTGTCGGAGCTGAGCACCCTCTGTGTGGGCCCCTGTCCCGACGAGAGGACCTTCTACTTGGTGTTGCTGCAGCTTCAGAAAGAGAAGAGAGTCACAGTCCTCGAGCAGAACGGGGAAAAGGTATGGAGGTCAGCGGGTCACCCCCTGACCCCCGATGACTCATTGAGGCTGTGCAGACATGCCCACCAGCACTCCTGCCTGGGGATGTCTCCGTGTTTGTGGGAGGGGCGGCAGTAATTTGTCCCTGTCCCTTAGATTGTAAAGTTTGCCCGGGGGCCACATGCCAAGGTCTCTCCTGTCAACGACGTAGATGTTGGGGTGTACCAGCTGATGCAGAGTGAGCAGCTGCTCTCGCGCAAAGTGGAGTCCTTATCCCAGGAAGCCGAGAGGTAACTACCCCGGAGCCCACAGCCAGCAAAGAATTGGTGTCTGTGGGCTCTTTAAAATAAAAGGGTTTGTTTTGTTTTTTAATTACAAAACTACTCACTGATTAACACAGCAATCATGGAAAGCACAGAATAAACACCAAGGAGAAAAAAATGAATTTTAAGTCTTCCTCCAAAGATTATGACCAATCACATTATTTTTATGCTCTCCCACACCAGTATCCATTTGCCCAATATTTTTTGAGCTAGGCCTTGTCTTGAGGACTTGGATACAATAGTGAATGAGGCAAGTCCCTGCCTTTGAGAGGTGTCTGAGGGACTCCTGCTTTTCCCCCTCACATGACCATACAAGGCATCCCTGCTACAGAACACTTCTCTAAAAGTCGGATTTGGAGACACCGGAGTAAGGTGTACTTGTTCACTCCATCTTACCTGGGGGAAACCCACGGGCTGTGTCCAAAGTCGTCATTGGTGTTAGGAATCTGTTTCCGATCTCCTGGCTCCCAGGGGCCTTGTTGGCATGCTCTCTCCCCCTGTGGGTTCTCGAGCTTATTTCTCAGCTTGCAAGAGTTTGGCAGTGAGCTGTCGGGCTTCATTTTTCCTGCCATTGGGTGGAATGCACGGATCTTCAGATCCGGAGGCACCTTACCTCAGTACTGCTCTTGGGGACTTTTCAGGATCCTGACACCCCATCCTAAGCATTGTCATCCCACCCTGTCCCTGTTCCATAGGTGTAAGGAAGAGGCCCGCCGGGCGTGCCGAGCAGGAAAGAAGCAGCTGGTAAGTTTTCTCTTTCCCCTCCCGCTGTGGACCCGCGCCCTGGGCTGGCAGCGACAGGTGCCTCAGCAGTTCAGAGGGGGCGGCCAGGCACCACAGCATATTTTACAAATAAGGAGGCCTGGGATGGTCTTAGCATCTGGGAACCGCTGCCCAGTCTGACCCTGACCAAGTCTCCACATCCCCTAGGCACTGAGGTCTCTCAAAGCCAAGCAGCGGACGGAAAAGCGCATTGAGGCCCTGCATGCCAAGCTGGACACTGTTCAAGGCATCCTGGACCGGATCTACGCCTCCCAGACGGATCAGATGGTAGCCACTGCCCCCCTGCTCCAGTGCTTGTCTGCCTGTCCGGCACCCACTCACTCCCTCCATGCGGCTCTGCTGTTTGGAGGAGGCCTGGGTTCTTTAAGGATATGGCTGCCTGAGCCTCTTGTTGGAAAGCTTTGGCCCCAGGGTTCATGGGGTGAATCAAGCTAAAAAAACACACAAAACTCCAAGATGTTTTTTGAAGATGAAACAATGTTAATCAGCTTAACAATAACCCTCAACCTTCAGACCCCAAAGATATCCTTTGTAGAGAACAACATTGTATGTATTTTGTCTAAGTTGTTCTTTTGCACTAATAACTGCTTTCTCCTTAGGTTTTCAATGCTTATCAGGCCGGGGTAGGAGCCCTAAAACTGTCCATGAAGGACGTCACAGTGGAGAAGGCAGAGAGCCTGGTGGATCAGATTCAAGAGGTATGGCGGGGCTGGGAGGGAGGGACTCTGCAGAAGGAAGTCCTGAGGGCAGATGGGACTCTCGCATTTCCTCTTGTCCCAAGCTGGCCTCTCTCTTGTGAACTTGAGGAAGCTTTCCTTGATTCCCAAATGGGATAGCATTACTTTGCAACCCTGAACACTGAGATACCACTGAGATACCCAAAGAGATAATACTCAGAGTTCAAGGCCTGTGCTTTCCCTTACAGCTGTGCGACACCCAGGATGAAGTTTCTCAGACTCTGGCTGGTGGGGTAACCAATGGCTTAGGTGAGTGGACACTGTGATTCTTCCTTCCTTCCTTCCTCGGGGACTTCATTCCCTTGTACTTTGGTGGGTTTGGCCATGGATCTGCCTTTCCGGATGCAGGCAGGGCTCTCCTCTCCTCCCTTTCCCTGGGGCCTGGAAAGAGTGGAAGGAGTGGTTGGTTCCTCTCGCTCTGCTTCAGCGTTCCTTACTGACTAGGCTTCTGACTGACAGATGCTTCTTCACAGGCAAGACGAAGCAGGGTCAGGGGTTAGCAAAATATACCTTCTTTTTTAAAAAAATATGTTTTATTGATTTGAGAGAGAGACAGAGAGAGAGAGAGAGAGAGAGAGAGAGAGAGAAACACTGATTGGCTGCCTCCTGCATGCCCCTACTGGGGATTGAGCCCACAATCTGGACATGTGCCCTGCCTGACAGGGAATTTAACTAACGCCTCTTGATGCATGGGATGACACTCAACCCATTGAGCCATACTGGCCAGCCACATGATTTTTTTTCTTCTATCTGCAAGGAGACCTGTACTTTTTTTTTTTTAAACCTCACACAGCATATATTTAGAGAGTAGAAGGAAGAGAGAGAGAGAAAGAGAGAGAGAGAGAGAGAGAAACATCAATGTAAGAGAGAACTATCAATTGGTTGCTTCTCGCACGTGCCCCAATCAGGGACCGAACCCACAGCCTTTTAGTTTAAGGGACGATGCTCCAACCAACTGAGCCGCCCAGCCAGAGCAGCCTCGGACTTCCTTTGGAAAGCTGAGCTGAGTTGTGCTGTCCTCAGTCCTTGACTCCTAAATGCATTTTTCCCTTGAGCAGTATATGTCCTTATACTGTCTTTTCTTTCCAGATTTTGACAACGAGGAGCTAGAGAAGGAATTGGACATCCTTCTTCAGGATACCACCAAAGAACCTTTGGATCTGCCCGACAACCCCCATGAGTTGTTTTATACCAACAGTGTGCCTGTCCCTAGGATCTCGGACGCTGAACTTGAAGCTGAACTTGAGAAACTGTCCTTATCGGATGGAGGTATGGAGCTGTGTTCCCAGGGTTGCGGTGGGCATGGGGCCCTCTGGCTGGCCAGAGCCACACAGGGTTGATGAGTCCCAGCCCAGTTGCTTAGTTGCCAGGGTACCAGAGCCCGGTAAGGGAGCTACGGGTTTGGTTTCTTGTTTATATTAGGACTCAATGCCTTCAACACTGGGATGCTTCCATCTCAGAGGTCTTCCTGGTGGTATCATGCTCATCATTTTTTCTCCTTGCAGGTTTGGTCCCAAGCAGTAAATCTCCAAAAAGGCAATTGGAACCGACTCTCTAAAGCCATTGTATGGCCCTCGAGTGAAGGACCTTCCTATAAAAGAGAGACCGGCCTGTATGTGTGTACATAGTTATTTAAATGAGAAACTCTCAGAGGAGGAAGGAGAGCTACTCTGATCTCTCGGATGCTACAGGACAGAGTGTCTGCAAGCGTGTGCCAGAGCCCTGCTCCCAGCTGGCATCATGGACCTGCCTTGTCATCTTTATAGTGCCACAATTTATACCGTTCTGTGTTTGCCCTGTCGTCTCCCATAGCCTGCACTTCTTGCCGTTGGCTCGGTTAGCTTTGTCTTCACCCACCAGTGGAGGGGAAAGTTTTGTTTCAGCCAATGGAGGTGAAAGATCTGCAGCTTTGCTAACTCAAACTCAGTCTTCTCCCCTGCCCCCACTGTTTCTTAGAGGAATGTATTCTGTCTGTAAGGTCAGTTAAGGAACTTGTTCCAGTCTCACTCTTTCGCTGGTAATGAGAAAAATGAGAATCAAACAGCTGCCACTTTATGCAGAAACATACAGTGTGAAAGCCTCTTTCCTAGGGCCATTTGTCAAATCCTCCAGGTGTTCAGAGAAGGAGGTCACCCTGCGTGGCTGAGAAGCATGACCTGTGGAGGGAGCTTGTGTAGTGGTGGGCGCTGTGGCCTCTTCTGTCTTAGCAGCACAAGATCTGACTGGAGAAAGGGTTATTCTTGGACTTTTGAACTTGAGAGAGAGAAGCCCAGGTGACTGCAGGGCCCCGAGTGTCCAAATCCCGTACGCTTTTTTAAAGAGGCATAACCTGCCTTGCCCCATCATGGAATAACTTAAAGGTGATATATACGGTATATATCAGAACAAGCCACACAACAGCACACCTCCCCTCCTTGAGCCTGGCACAACAACAGGTTCTTTGAATTTCAGAAGCATTTTGCTCTGTGCCCACTGCTCAGGGCAGGGGACCTGAGCCAGGCCGTGCAATAGAAGCAGAAGATCAGGGCCTTCTGTTGGATCTGCTGCGTGCCTCCCAGTCCTGCTCTCCACCTGTCCCCGCCTCCTCCGGCCCATCTTCCTACTTCCTTTGACGAATGGGGAGGGTGGCGTAGGGGGACAGACCGGAGAGTGAATGCTGAGGCAGCAGGGAGAAGAGGATGATGGCCGGCCGCACTGCCACTTTGCTGCCACCAAGCAAGTCCTGCCTGCAGCCGCTCCTGCCCTCTACCCGAGGTGGTGCGGGCGAGGGGAAGAGTTTGCTCCAGGCCAGGAGCTCAAATCACCTTTCAACAAATGTCTCTCCCACTGGACCTGGGTCAACTGAAATGTTGGGAGGGAAGAGATACAATCACTATTTTTTCTTTTTTATCTGGTAAATAATTAAAAGAAAAAAACCCAAGAGCTTGTCCTTGTCCCTTCTTTAAGTTGCATAGTTTTCTTGTTATTTCATACCTCTCCACCCCCACCCCCAACATTTATACCCACGTGGCTTTCACGTAGGGCTGCAGGAGAACTGAGCAGCTTCATAGTGTTGAGTGCTGAGCTCTGCTGAAGACCGGCCAGTCTCACTATGATTCTCACATGCTGTTCAGGGGGAGGCTACATCCATTGAATAGCCAGCCGTCTTGGTTATAGGAGTGTGCCATCATTTAGTTTTTCTCTTCCTTTGCCTGTTTGTTTAAATGACCCAATTTCCTCTGGCTATGGGATCATACCATGTTGTCTGGCACCAATAGTTACTCAGTGCCTGCTACATGCCTGGTGCTTGTCACCCCCTGGGGTGAGGAGGGGGAATGGGCTTTGGGACTGAGTGCAGAGCTAGAAGATCTACCTCAACACTAGGCTCACAGCTCTAGATCAGGCAGCAGGTGAACCAAACAGGAAAAGGCATTGGGGGAAGCCCAGAGCACAAACAGTTTGAACAGAGAAGAATGAACCATGGACTTGGACTTCATGAGCCTCTGTCTGGTCTCATGTTACTCTCCCCCGCCATCTTAAGTGGCTGAGGGGCCCTTGTTTAAATGTCTTGGCCTGGTTCTTTGCTGAACTACAGGAAATGGAAAGATGTGTCTGGGTTGGATCAGTTGAGAATAAGCCACTGTTTGGGGGTGGCTGCGTTTTGAGCATTGATCCCCATGGGGAGGGGGGTCAGTCTAATCACAATTCTCCTCTTAAAGGAATGAACCTGGTTTATTAAGGGAGCGGATAAGTTCTCTTGCATATAGAGAGAGATCAGACCCAGGTGGACCAGGTTCAGATACTGCCTTTTTGAAACAGAAGTGTCCTGTGGGAGTTACAGACAGAGTAAAGAAGTGTGGAGTACAAACACTTCAAGTTGGGGGCCCCAGGGACATTGAAAGATGACATCCAAGCTGTCATTTCCCTTGACTATTTCCATGGGTATTCAAAACCTTATACAGCAATCGACAAGTCTTAAAATCACATCTACCCATGATTCCACTGAGATCAAGGAGGGAGATGTAATGAATCAGGTGGGGGCTGGTGCCAACTGGGAATCAAGAAACCTGCTTCCAGTTTCATCTCAGCCACCTGCTGATTGTACCGATGGCTTTGGAGATACCAGCCTCTCGTTTCCCAGCTGCAATGTGAAGCAGACGGCAAGATGATTCCAGAAGTTCTGATAGTCTTAGTGTCTCCCTGTATGGTCCTCTTCTCCCTTCTCTCAAATCCCTGCTGCCTTGTGACAGGAGTCAGTGCAGTGCCACGGCAATGCCAAGCCTGGAAAGATGGCTGGAGAGTCCCCATCACTGCTTGCTGGGGGACGGTAGAGAGAGCAGGTGCTGGGGGAGGGGAAAGTGTGCATTTGGGGAGGTTGGGGGAAGGGCAAAGCCTCAGAGCCTCCTGGGCCTCCCTGAAAGGGGCTCCTAGCCACAGGCCTGGGACCTGGGTGGGCTCTGAGTCAGATGCCCTGCTGTGAGGCAGAAGAGTGAGAGTTACACTGCAGCTATTGATCACTGCCTGCCTGCAGCGCTGAGTTCAAGGTTGAGCAGACTCCCCCCTCCTACTCCCAAGAGATCAAGACATTCTGATTCAATCTGCTGGAAATGTAATCAAGGTAAAATGGAAAGAGAAAATCCCCAAAGCTGTTCAGAAGGCTGCTGGCAGCACTGCTGACTCACAAGGAACCCAGCGAAGCTTGGCTTTGAGGTTCATGGCTGAGCTTGGCAGCTCTCTGTGCCTCTGAAGTGTTTGACTGTTTCCTCACTAGCATCTCATTTTTACTCAAGTTGCAGCTACTCTTTGGAGGAGAGCATGCTCCTTATCTCCTCCTGCACACAAACAGTACCTGAACCTGCGAGCCCTGAGGAGCCTCAGCAAATGTGTGGAAAGCCTGTTTCACAGGTGGGGACATGGAAGCCTAAGTGACTTGCCCAAAGTCAAGGTCATGGAGCTCACAGGGGAACTTGGGATTGTTGGTTTCCAGTTTGGTAGACTGGCTTTCAGGAGTAGGTATCCTGTAGATCCAGTGGCACAGCCTTCCCATACACCCAAGCTGTGCACTCCAGGTGCCCCCATATCCCTCACCCTGTGTAGGCCATGTACACCTTCCTGTTGAGCACTGATTGCTGTTGTCAGTCAATGGGAGGGATTCACCCCCAGGCCAGTGAGCTGCAAGGACTGGCTATGACTACTGTGAAGGATATCTGCCCACCCCATGGAGCAGGGCTTACTTCAGCAGAGCTCTGGTGCCCTCAGATTCCTCCCCAACCACCCTTGAGTGTGTCACTTGTGGAGATGATTGGGTGGTGCTTCAATATGGTTTGAAGCTGTTCACTGAGTGTTGCTAGCTCTGGGACCTCTAGGAAGGTGCAGACTAAGGCCAGCCACTGCTTATGTATTGCCCTGGCCACCCTGCATGATCTGCAAAGAGATCTGCAGATGACTGCTACTTGTGCTGGGCTTGGAGATGCCCAGGAGGGGCCAAGCTGCGAACTGAGTCCGGCTGCCACTGATGCTGGGCCTAGGGCTCGTTAGTGAGAGTTAGGGGGCACACCAATACCAAATGCTGCTTGTTTCAGAGATTTTAGAAATGTCTGAAGCATGAGCCAAGACAGGCCATGTGTATGGAAAAGCCACTGGAAACTTCTTGAGTGGGTCCAAATGTTGGGTGGAGCAGGGTCTCAGGGAATCACGAGGATGAGGTGAACAATGATTGCCAGATTGACAAAGGCTCTGATACGGTGTGCCCACCTGCAGGCTCTGCAGGGGACCGGCTCAGGAAAGGAATAATGGCCTCTGCCAGCATTTCAGTGCAGGAGCTGCCTCCTGGTGGTCAGTGCGCTTCCACAGTGGGAGTGCTGCTGAGCTGATCGGGATGAGTGGCTGCTCCCACTGTGAACCCTGAAGCACAGACGGGGCCCTCAATTAATCTGAGGAGTGTTGCCTGGTAGAGGTTTAACCTTTTATACTTTTATACTTTTCTGCTTATAGGTTTTAAAGTTCCTTTGCCAGATAACTTAGTGCAGACTAGATCTCAAGGTCTCCCTTTTACTGTGTGTGTGTGTGTGTGTGTGTGTGTGTGTGTGAGAGAGAGAGAGAGATTCCAGAATTTATGAGAAGCATCTGGCAATTTCATTTTGACAAGCCCCAAGACTGAAGACTGCTGGTTTCTCTGCTTAAGCAGTGAGATAAAAACTTCCCCTTCACTCCCCTTTTCAAAAAAAAAACAACAAACGCTGAATGCTTGTTTAGCAAGTAAGATAAACCCTCCCTTCTTTCCTTCCTTTCCCCACCTGCCCTGCCTTAGCAGCTCCAGGGTGATTTAAGCTATGTATTATTCGGTTAGGGAGGAGAGACATTAGCCTTTTGTTCTAAAATGTCCTTATTTGGGGAAAATTAGATCTGACTGCAAACTGGCTTCAAGCTGCCCAAACTGTTTGTCTTGTTTAATCTTCTTGTCTCAGTTTCTCTGTTCTTCCTGCCTTGGAATTTTCCTAGCTTCTTCCTATCTTACTACACTAGCAAACTGTACATCAGGGTGGCATTTGTTTGAATCAAGGGTTTCAAAGCTTAAGATCTGTTGGGAAATTACTGGAATAGAGGACAGAACACATGATTTGAGATAATCTCCTCGAATTTGAAAGTAGCAGATCAACCTACCATCTATTGAATGTAGGAAGCCCAATTTTATGCTTGTAAAATGGGGGTGAAAACCAGGGATTGCAATAGGTTCCACATGGAAATATACGGAAAGGGCTAGGCCCAATAAACGAGGATGCTGAGCCCAGAATTCCCCAGGACCTCCTGCTGTGTAAACGCTGCCTTAACTCACGTAAATGAAATCCTGCTCCACTGGGAAGGGGTGGAAGTCTGTGGAGTTTGCAATTGAGAGGGTGTCGTTTTTAAAATATTTGCTGAACTGTTAAGTTTAAAAGGTTTTGCTGAATTTGCATGTAGTTACCTTTGAATGATTTGGGAAAAGAAAAACAGGTATATTATCTCTGC